CACACACACACACACATCAGCACCAGCTGCAGCTGTCACATGACCAACGGAGACGTTACCACTCGTCCCAAATACAAACACAACAATAAAGACACTGTGATAAAAGTATTTTTCCTTTCTCTGATTTTAAAACATGATTATCAGACATTTGATCAAACTGAATGTTTTTAGATCAAATAATAAAACATGTTTGACATCAGCTCTCTGACGCTAAGTATTTCACAATGAATTGATTCATGACAATAATTAGAGGAAGCTCAACGGACGTGGAACTGGAAAAATACAAATATCTCAGGGTGAAGAAGAGGAGCCGTACGTAGAAGACGAAGACCTCAACTTGGCGTCAAGAGGAGAATGTTGAATGTTCGTATCTCAGATTGTTTGGTCACGAGTGCGTTGTTCAGGTAAGGTGACCGTCGTCACCATGGTTACCTTAACAACCACTTTGTTAAAGTTATTAAAAACTTTCTGTGCGGTACGTACAGCGACCTCCTGTGGTGAGGTCTGACGTGCAGCTCTAAGATCACGTCCTCAGAGGTCTGTTACAGATGTTTACAGATGAGAGATGAAGTTACAGCTTCACAGAATCTGAATCTTAAAGCTCCTGCTCTTTGTTTTGTGTTTCGTCCTTATTTGGTCAGAGCCGAGCCTCCGCAGGGACACACAGGCTCAGAGTGACGTAACGTCTGTAACAGCACAGTCTCTCCACAAACAACCCACCCAAACTCCTTTACTCCAAAACTAAATTAGACTCACATCAACACAAAGTGACAGTTTCGGCTCCATTAAAACAAACCAGAGACGAGTGTGAGCGAGGCTGCAGCAGAGAACAGGTTTACGTAACCCATTATTCATGAAGTGAACCATTTACTGCATCAATCTTTAATCACGCACCGACACAACGTGACCACTTGCCTTGATGTAGCTGACGAAGCGAGTGCTGAGAGCCGAGTCTCTGTAGCCAAACTGCTCCTTCAGGGCCTCCGTAGGACTCTCCTCGATCAGACGCACCGAGTCGGAGTTTGGATCTGCTGAAGAGAAGAAAACACGAGGAGTTTCACAGTGAAGCCAACGTTCACCTCGTCCATCGTCCTGAACGTCCAGCGACGGTAACTTGGACGTTAACGGACAAATTGAATGTGTTTTCTTCTGAACTGTCGACATGGATGATGAATTTTAGTCTTGCCCTAATAATCCTGTTGACATGAGCATGAAGCCACTTGTGCCATTTTGAGGAGAAACTTCAAACGAGAGACATCAGCTCTGACCTGATTCACACTGATTGAAGTTTATATTTAAACTGAGTCTGTGGAGACCTGCTGTTAATAGAGTTCAACACTACAGACACACAACTGACAAGCTCTGTGTGTGTGTGTGTGTGTGTGTGTGTGTGTTACCTGTCAAGGAGCTGATGTGTTCACTGGAGTCGTCTTTACTGATCCCCTCCTCCTCAGTGATGTGGCTCATCGGCACATTGAGACTCAGACTGTCCTCGTCTGACGGCTGCAACAAACAACGATTAACAACAGAAAACCACCATTAATAAAAATATTCAAACGTCTGAAGTTATCTATCAGGTTTAAAAACGTGAAATCATCTCTTTCAATTCTTTATAATACTTAAAATAATGACATCATCACATTTGAGGAAATTATTTATTATTTGTCCTTTTTTTCTTGTGACTGAAATGATGATTAGATTAGAATTGAAACATTATTGATGTTTAAAACTTTTCAGACTCAAAACACCAGCATCTGTCTGGTTTTTAAATAAATACAATAATAAGAATTAAAAATAAGATTCTCTTCTGCAGAACTTCCTGCAGCTGCATCACTTCATATAATGAATGAGAGAATTATTGATCTGCAATTTGTTCAGTTCAAACTTGTCAATGATACATTTAGCAAATATCAATGACACAGTTTGTTGAAATAATAAACTTAAGTTCGTTTACAAATAAATAAGTGAAACTTTCTCTCAGTAAAGAAATCTATGGATCAAACAATTCAAAATAATCCAGCGATAATATTTCTGCAGACACGTGTAAATGCAACACATCCAACATGTGAAAGAACACGTCCAACACATGAGATGAAGACAAGCTGTCGACAAGATGACCAATAAACAAGCAACACACACACACACACACACACACACACACACACACAGTACCTCAGTAGCAGACAGTCTCTTGTCTCCGTTGTCGCTGCCGACTCCTGAGTCGCTGTCCTGCTTCTTCTGCTGCTCCATGTCCTCCACACTGCAGACACACAACACAGGTTACACACCTGACACACCCACGCACACAGGGAGCTTGTGTGTGTGGTGTGTGTGTGTGTGTGGGCGAGCAACAGAGCGTGTGAGCCACAGAGAGAGAGCGAGCACAGTCCTCCTGTCAGTCTGCGTTCACACGACTGTGTAACTTGATGACGGTAAAACGAGCTTCACTCTGATTCTCTCTCACCTGCTTCCTTCAAGGTCTTTGTTTTAATGGAGTTTTAAAAATAACTTCACTGCTTCCTCTGGAGGGACGAGAGATATTTATTAATCATTCAACATTTAGAGAAAAAACTATCCTGCTGAAGTTAACTGAGCGAACTGAAGAGGAGGAAAAGAGAAAAGAACAGATACCCACAGGGTGAGAGAGACGACAGAGGAAATACAGAGAGAGAGAGAAACAGCCGAGAAAAGGAGGAAAACAGAGTGAAAACATAAGGAAAGATTTCAGGATGATAAAAGAGAGGAAAGAAGAAACAGAGGAAAAAGAATGATTAGTGTGTCAGAGCTCTGCAGGAGAATAGGAACCATTTTCCTGCCCACGTACTGGGAGCACTTTATGTGGGCGGACATTAGAGAGTTCAACTTCCTGCAAGAGTCTGGGAAACTAACGCAGCAGCATTTTATTCTCTTCATTATTTCTGTCCTCCTTCTTTCTGGCCTGAACCTCATCCTGTTGTACACAAACTTAACCATAATATCTCGATGCTAACGATTACGTCTTGTGGTGATGACAACCTGGAGTGGAGCCGCAGCATTGAGGTCCCGCCCAAACACGGGTTTGACCAATCACGAGTCAGTGTCAGCTGTCAATCATGACATTTAAGCCTGTTCTATGTAATGTAATAAAGGATGAAAATGAGAGAAACCATCTTTGAGAATCATTAGTTAACATCTACTTAGATTTTCCAGTTTGGTCCATGTCCCATCTGCTCACGTGGAGGAGGCAGGGAGATTATGACCTATACTGCAGCCAGCCACCAGGGGGCGATGTGAGGATTAAAAACAGGTTCAGATCAGTGTTCACATCACTGATCGAACTGTTTCTGTGACTGAAGGAGATGCTTCCATCATGGTTACCATGGCAACACTCAGCAACACTATTCCAGCTGAGTGGTATTTAAGTTGCCGCGGAGACTGACCTGCCGGTGGAGGGTCGTGATAGGCTGAGCCGCTCTATGACGGGCAGGTAGAGCGAGTCGGGCATCTTCTCGCTGCGACACGCCTCGATGCTCAGATACTTGAATATGTGAACTTTTCCCTTTAAACAGATCTGAGGAGGAGGAGAAAGATTTCATCAGTTTTCATCTTCTGTCGTCTCGGCCCGTTTATTTTTGACCAATCAGTCGATGTCGTGTTTATGACGAGGTGTGTGAACCAATCAGGACCAAGACACGAGGCGACAGCCTCCAACAGGACGTTCAGAGACTAAAAATAAAAAAAGAAGAGTGTGTGTGTGTGTGTGTGTGTGTGTGTGTGTGTGTGTGTGTGTGTGTGTGTGTGTGTACCTGTGCGGGTGGGCTCTGCAGTGGGTTGTTTTCTAACTGGAGCGACTGAAGCTGCTTCATCTTCCTGAAACACACTGGGATGGTGGAGACCTTGTTACAGGAGAAGTCAAACTTCACCAGAGGAAGATCAGCCAGGTCTGTAAGAACACACACACACACACACACACACACACACACACACACACACACACACACACACACACACACACACACACACAGATCTGTCAGCAGATGTTGAACCATAGACTGTGAATAAACAGGGATGACATGACAAGTCTGCATTGTGATCGCCCCCTGGTGTCTGGCTGCAGTATAGGTCTTAAACCCCTCCTCCTCCACGTTAGCAGACAGGAAATGGACCAAATTAAAAAAGTTTTGGTTTAATCAGTTATTTGATATAAACATGGGCTGACACGGGATGATTGACAGCTGAGACTGACTCGTGATTGGTCGATTGTGCCGCTCCACTCCTCCATCACAGTCTTTGATGCCAAATGACATCATCACCACAAGATGGCAGCGCTTGTATCTGACAGATTTTGACTTCATGAAAGTGGGAGGAGCTGGAGACACAACTTTATTTACAGTCTCAGCCGCCTGCGTGTTGTCAGAGATCTGTTTGTCTCTGAGGTCGATCTTCGGTTCAGGAGGATTCTCTGATGGCAGAGTTCACTGTGGAATCAGACGCTAACCACACTCACACTCTTTTCAACAACACTCAGTGAAAGTGTGAGTTTAAAACACTCTTCTTGAAGGACGTTCGTAAGAAGAGAGGTTTACCGAGCTCGTCAGAAAACACGAATCATAACGAAATGATCTAAATTTAAATTAACCTCATTCCAGAGTAAAGAAATCAACAATTCATATAATAGATGAAAACATCACCAGGAGTATTTCACCTACATCTTACACGCTGGACCTTTGAGGATTAAGTGTCTGAAATCCCCTGAGCAGACGTGACACAAAGAATCATTTAGTTCACACACTCACCTTCTGGCAGGACGCAGAGGAGGTTTCGACGAACGTTGAGTTCTCGTAAAGCTTTGAGTCGACCGATGTGACGAGGAAGAGCCGTGATCTCATTGCAGCTGATGTCCTGCAGAGGGCGACCACAACAACACAACTTGTGATTACAACTTTTAATCAAGTTGTGTTAACCTTCATTAAATGAGCAAAGAAAAGGTGTGTGTGTGTGTGTGTGTGTGTGTGTGTGTGTGTCTCACCAGCTCCATGAGGTTGTGCAGGTGTCTGATGGTCTCTGGCAGACTGACCAGCTTGTTGTTGCTGGCGTTGAGGACTCTCAGAGGTAAACCACAGAGACAGGCCGGCAGAGAGCCCAGCTGATTACGACTGAACACAAACATCATCATCTTCAGACTTTGTTTACGTACAAACAGTTAACTATTATTTAACCACACAACCAAACAATTCAGGTTCGGACGTCTCCTGATCGTCCTGAAGAAAACTCCTGACCGACTTCATTTCTTTATCATTTATACACTCGGGCAGTTTCCACCTTTGTCATTTAGAAATAAATAAATAAATTATAAAAGTAAAAATAACTTTGTGTTTTAAATATGTTAAAATTTACTTTAATATAATCAACAAATCCAAAAACATTGTGCGTCTGCGAAGTTTCGACTGCTGTCGACTTCAGGCCACAAAAACTTAAAATAGATTAAAAAATCTGACTGAGAAGAAGTGTCTCTGATCTCAGATCAGCAACACTTACTATACACAAAACACACACACACACACAGTCACATTAACACACACACACAGTCACATTAACACACACACACACACGCTCACACACTCACACCACAAGACTGTGAAACTCCCTCTGACTCAGCTCTGAAAATAACATTCAGGAAACAGGAGGGAGTTTATACAGCTGCATACGCACACACAGACACACACACACACACAGACACACACACACACGCACGCACGCACACACACACGCACGCACGCACGCACACACACACGCACATGCACGCACGCACACACACACAATGGAAGAGTTATATTTCACTTTTATGTTGGAGATGTTGTAGTAATTCTTTTTGTGTGTGTGTGTGTGTGTGTGTGTGTGAGTGTGAGTGTACATCCACATAATTCTGAACCAAGAACTTCCGTCTCATGATGTCATGCTCACGTGGTCACTTGACGATCTCACGAGACGTTTTCAGAACCTGGATGTTTGTGACGATGTGAAAATGTGTGAATGTACTTTTTCACTGCAGCCAAACAATTGAACCATTAATCAAATGTAACGTAGGTTTTAAACATAGTTGTTAAATGTTGTGATTATTTTCTGTGTGAAAACGTTTTAAAAAACTACGATGACTTGAAGATAAACTTCTCTGTTTCACTTTAAAGAGACTAAAAATAAGACTGGAGAGGAAAGTGTGCTTCCTGTTCTGACAGGACTGTGTGTGTGAGGAGTGAAGCTGAGCAGCTGAAACACCTGAAACTTTTGATCCTGGATTCATTTATTAAAGATCGTGTTGCAGCTGCAGTGATTTGTTTAACATTCCAACCCCTGTTGATTTAGTTACTTTAATTATTCAATCATCAGAATAGTTTCTGTTTCATTCACTTGTTTTTTCATGAGATGTAAACATGAGTCGATCATTGAGGAACGTGAAGCAGCTTCATCATCTCACAGAAGATTCACAGATTATTTGTTCAGACGTTCAGAGTGGAGACAGCATCGACCTTTAAACACAGACGCACAGACAGATGTGTGTGAAGGTCAGCACCAGGCGTGTGTGTAGCCCACACACACACACACACACACACACACACACACACTCCTCCAGGGAGTCACAGTAGTACAACAGCTCAGACGAGCGTTGGCTCCGCATAATAACACATATATTTTTGCTTTGTCACAATGATTCAGTCTGCGTTCACAGTGAGTTCACACACACACACTCACACACTCACACACACACACACACACACTCACACACACACACTCACAATCACACACACAGTACAGCAACATGAACAACGTGATTTGTCGACTGATAAACTTTCAAGTTAAAGTATGATTCTGGTTTATTTCAACTTGGTTCTCACTGTGTGTGTGTGTGTGTGTGTGTGTGTGTGTGTGTGTGTACCTGAGGTTTAAGGAGGTGAGTGACTGCAGGGTGATGATGCTGTCTGGGATGGTCCTGATGCAGTTGTGATACAGGTTTAGTGTTTCCAAGGCAACCAGGTGACAGACCTCTGAGGGGACGTCTGTCAGTCGGTTCTTTGACAAGTCTGCAGAGAGAACAGAATACAAATATATATATATATATTTATATACACATATATAAACATGAACATCATAGTAGAGCGGGTTTATTAATACATGTGGAAAACTTCTGCTGGTTCAAACATTTTAAACATTTTCTTATTTCAACCAAAGTTGTTTCTGTCACGTCATGTTTTTCTTATTTTACATGAATTAACTCTAAGATAGAAATTTATTTTAAAAACGAAAATTTAAATGAATCAAACAAGAACAAAGTCCGACAGACTGAACTGTTGACCGTTAAATCAAACACATATACAACCAAGTTCTATACTCGGTTGTATATGTGTTTGATTTATGGTTAAAAGTAAAATCAACTGAGTTTTACTTTTGACTTCATAACAGTTGAAGACAGTTTGGACGATAAATGATAAATAATAAAATAAGTGCATGGACAGTCTGATCCTGACCCTTCATGAAGCTGCAGTGAGAAAGTCTGAGTCAGCTCGACTCACTGATACAAATCTGCAGTTTCAACACAAACAGTTGAACAAAAGCTCCGTCCTCAAAACCACCACAAAGTTGAATCAACACTTTTTAAAACCTGTTTCGACACAAACGGAACCTTTTAACCTTCATGAGGTTTGATTTCAGGACGGTGTAAGTTTCAGCTTGGTTGTTTCTAATAAACTGACGACTCAGCGTAATTCGATGAATGTTAAACTCCGCCCTTCACATTCTGCACCAGAGGAACAAGTGTCGTCGGACTCAGGGAAGTCGTTGTTTGGCAGAGGGGCTGGGGTCAGACGCTCAGGGCCAGGACTGATGACATCACATCCTGCTGCAGCTCCGCAGCGATGATATCAAGTGGAGTTATCAGCAGCCGCAAAATGAGGCCAAGAAATGTCAGGGCCAATTATTCCACATTGTTCTGCCGAGGCGGAGCTCAACTCTCTAACGGAGCGAGAAGAGAACAAGGGCTAACGTCCTCTGGTGGAAAACATCATGGGAACGTTACGGGTGTTGTGTTCTTGTGAGTTCTGACTGTGATCAAGGTGATTATCTGTTGTCTTGTTGTTGAACTGTGAGGTCAGTTAGTTAGTCTCCTCCCTGTGCTTGTATGTCTTTGTTCCATACATTGTTCCAGTCTACATACATCTTAGCCCCAGACTCACACGACATCACCGTGACCTTTGACCCCTGAAAACAAATCCGTTCACCTGTGAGTCACTAACTGTCTCGATGTAGGAGTCCGTCCTTCAGAGGCTGCAGTTGAAGATCGAGTGGATCATTTCAGAAGGCTAACGGTGACGTCAAGCTTCCGACAACATGAAAACTTAAAACCTCCTGCCGCCGGGTTGTAGTGTCTTCTGTTGATCAACTCATAAAATGTAATTATCTGTTTCAGGACTAACTGTACAAACTGGCTCTGTCACGCCTGCGTCTGAGCATCAGCCGCTCAGGCAGCGTTGCATCGTGGGTCTCATAGTCACAGGAAGTGCTATTTAAAACTGTGCAGCTGAGAAACAAAGAGCGAGTCAGTCGAGCTTTTATCCTCCGAGCAAACAGCAGCAGGCTGATTCACTGAGAGTGTGAGTGTGTGTG